TTAAACTAGCATCCATGATGCTCACCTTCCCGACAAAACCGCTGAAGACAAAGCAGGTGAATAAGCAAATGTGGTGAAGAAATCTGATGGAGCCAGGCTATCAAAAGATATAGCATCTAGGGTCTTAAAGGCTTGAAGGTAAAAAAGCGGCCATCTAGCAGGGAAGTAACAAAGCCCACATGGAAGAAGCACACCAGCCTGTGCAATCATGAGGTGTCGAAGGGATCAGGTATCAGGCATCAAAGAACAAAAAATCAAATCATTGTGAATGAGTGGGAGTGCAGATTGGGGACTCAAGACCCATCTGTAGGCAACTGGACATCCCCTTACAGAAGGGTTGCAGTGAGGAAGAGTCAGGGTAGCATTGATGAAACGTACAACTTTCCTCTAGTTCCTAAATGCTTTCTCCCCCCACTATCATGATCTCAATTCTACCTTGCAAGTCTGGCTAGACCAGAGGATGTACACTGGTACAGATAGGAACTGGAAACCAGGGTATCCAGGACAGATGATCCCTTCAGGACCAGTGCTGAGAGTAGTGATACCGGGAGGGTGGAGGGAGGATGGGGTGGGAAGGGGGAACCGATTACAGGGATCTACATATAACCTCCTTCCTAGGGGAGGGTCAACAGAAAAGTAGATAAAGGGAGACATCGGACAGTGTAAGATATGACCAAATAATAATTTGTAAATTATCAAGGGTTCATGAGGGAGCGGGGAGGGAGGGGAGAGCAAATGTTTTGAGAATGATGAGGGCAACAAATGTACAAATGCGCTTTACACAATTGATGTGGGTGTGGATTATGATAGGAGTTGGATGAGCCCCCAGTAAAATGATTTTTTAAAAATCTCTGTGCACCCAAAGCAGACTATGTGTCCCAGCCTGCTGAGGGGTAAACAACAGAGGCTAGAAAGTCCGGCCTCCTCTCATTTGGGCTTGTTGTTACCTGGCCCCAGGAATCGGCGTGTGTGAAGGCGGTGGCCGCCGCGAGCATGTGGGACTTGTGCGTGGAGAAGGGCAACCGAGAGCTGGAGCAGTTCGAGAAGGTGCACCGCTACATCAGCGACCAGCTCTTCACGAGCTTTGTAAGTGACGCACGCCCTCTCCGGCGTGTGGGCTTCCTTCTAGGGGTCTCCTTTAGGCCACTGTCACCGCGTCAGTCCTGACTCAACGGCCCTGTGGCGTAAAATAGAACTGTCTTCTAGGCTTTCCAGGCCATGTCTTTACAGAAAGAAGCGTATCTCTCCCTCGGAGCAGCTTGGTGGGTTTGAACTGCTGACTCTTTGGTTAGCAGCCAAGTGCGTACCCACTGTGTCTGGCATGCCTAACTGTTTATTGCTATGTCGCTCCCTGCTGAGTTTTTCCCAAGTAGTCACAAATCTCCCAAATATTTTCTAGCATATATATCGAAAGCCCTTAGCGTATAAGAAGACCCGTGCAGGTCAAACCCATGTTGCTCAAGGATCAACTGTATTGATAAAGGTTTTATATTAGGCACATGACTTTCGCGTCAATGAAATGATGGTGGGAGGTGTGTCTATGCGATTGTTAGCCGTGATAACGTCACTTCAGAAGTCAAATGACAAGCCATCACCACTGACAACTGACCCAAAGAGAAGAATCCGTTCATGTAGTGATTGAAAAAGGAATAGTTAGAGGCTGACAAGAGTAAAGTTAGCGAGAGAGTTGGGAAATGACAAACTATTTATAAAGAGAGTCCTAAAGGCCGAATTGTTTGGGAAACCCAACAGAGACGGCTGTAGGATTGCTGCTTTTGTGGCCCTGGCATGGATTCTGACTGGTCTTTCTCCCGCAGGGGGAGTTTGATCCGCCAAGCTTTCCATTAGCAGCCCAGCACTTAATCCCGATTTGATGGTTACCTCAAGATCTCTCTCCAGGTGGCCTGAGGCTGAAGAAGATAAGGCCTATTTGGGGAGCCTACACCTGTCCCAGCAGTAGCATCTTACTAAAAATCACTGACAGAGTATTTATCTGTGCTTTTTAACTCTCAAGTGCCCTGCCCTCGGTAGCTGTCCCTCTAGTGGGAATTACAGAGAAACTTCTTTAAATGGCGAAAACCAGTCTTACCAAGGAGTTACAATTAGAGAAGGGTTGGGTGTATGCAAGGCCCTCCCCCAGATGTATGAAATAACCCAGTCATTGCTTACCAAGTCACATGTGCCCTGAATGCCGTGGGACAGGCTGTCCCATCTAGCCTGGGACCCACACTTGATGGTGACAGGTGGAGGCCCGCTTTCGTTGTCCGCTCGGGAGCGATGTGGGGCAAACCCAGGGGTGATGAGAAGTGTTGAAGCGTCCGTGGTAAATGGAAAGGTTTCGGGGATTGTGAGGTCCGCATGAGGTTACACTGGCAGCGAAGGAGACGGTGCAGGGCCTTTACCAAAGTCAACCGCAAGGGTGTTTGGGAGAAAGGCCATTATGAATTTCCAGTAGACTCCAGCTGAGCCGCGTGCCCGTCTCTTCCCTCCAGAAAGAGAGGACCGAGCGGCTTGTCATCTCGCCCTTGAATCAGTTACTGAGCATGTTCATGGGGCCCCACAAGCTGGTGCAGAAGCGCTTTGACAAGCTCCTGGACTTGTACAACTGTACGGAGCGGGCCGAGAAGCTCAAGGACAAGAAGACCCTGGAGGAGCTGCAGTCTGCCCGCAACAACTACGAGGCCCTGAACGCCCAGCTGCTGGATGAGCTGCCCAAGTTCCACCAGTACGCCCAGGGCCTCTTCACCAACTGCGTCCACGGCTACGCCGAGGCCCACAGCGACTTCGTGCACCGGGCGCTGGAGCAGTTGCAGCCGCTGCATTCAGTGAGTACCCACCTTCCTCCTCCTCCTCTCCCTGAGGAAAAGCCAACATCTTGGAAGCTCCTGGCCCTCTTATGGAAGGCACAGTGGTGGGAGCACTTTGTCAACGGAACCAGTGGGTTCCAATTCCTGACCACCCATGGGTAGCAAAGCAGAGCTGCATTCTCTGGGGTTCTCGGCAAGTGGACTGCCACACATTCCGCTCATAGCTGAGTGCCACATGTCTGTGCCCCCCAGGGACCCCGACGGACGAGACAGATTGACTCTGGGACCCATCCGGCCTCCCTGGCCGGACGCAGAATTCTGAATCCCTTGAGGGTGGCTTGTCACTGTCCGTCTTTTCCAGCTTGAGCGGTTCCTAGAAGCGCTGGCCAACTTCCCTGTGGGCAGTGCCACGGAGCGCTCGGTCTCTCCATCGGGCCTCAGTGCTGGTGGCCCACACAGAGTGAACTGCTGCTGAACTCTAGCTTCCTGTGGTCTTGGACAAGACTTGGCCGCTCCCAGCTCTTTCATGCACCACCTCTCTCCTTTCCCGCGGGCTGCAGTTACTCAACGTTGCCAGCAGAGAGGGAAACCTGATTGCTATCTTCCATGAAGAGTACACCAGAGTGCTGCAGCATCTCCAGGTGTTCACCTTCTTCCCAGACGCCCTCCCAGCTACCAAGAGGACCTTCGAGAGGAAAACGGTGGACCGCCAGTCTGTTCGAAAGCCCCTCCTGGGTCTGGTGCGTACGGGACTCCTGGGGAAGGATGCTGGGCTCGTGGCTCCGAGGGTGAGCTCTGTAGTAGCCGCCCTGGGTTCAGAGTCCAGCAAACGAGCTCTTAACTCCCTGCCATCCAGTCAACTCTGCCGCATAGTGACCGACCCCACAGAGCGTTTCCAAGGCCGTAAAACTTCACGGGAGTAAATAGCCTCTTTTTCTCCCTCGGAACAGTAGGTGGGTTTCAAACCACGGACCTTGCCGTATGCAGTCCCAACACCTACCCACCCAAAAGTACCACCACTTAGAAATTGCCAGACACATAGTAAGCGATATATAAAGCAAACTCTTACCATCGTCATCATTGTTACTGTTATTAATATCAGTGGCCCGACCTCCGTCAGGAGAGATGAACCGTTTAGGAGGAGTTTAACTATTTTGTAACACATGAGAACAAAGGTTCTGGGCTTGATCCTGCTTGTTGGTACTGAGCATCACTAATGTGCCTCCTGGTATTTGGTAGTGCTCTGCCTTGGTTTTCTCACACTCGCTAGATACTCCAAGCTGCCCTCTGAAAAAGCAAGCTGGGATTTTACTGTGGTGCAGCAAATGGTCCTCACAAAGTATTAAAGGCATTTACTTACTCTTGACTCTGTTATAGGAAAGTTGCTCATTATCTGATAGACTGAGCCTGGAGGGGGTACAGTGGTCACACACTGAGCTTCTAACCACGAGGTCAGCAGTTGGAAACCGCCAGCGGCTCCACAGGGGAAAGACGAGGCGTTCTACCCTGGTGAAGAGTTGCACTCTGGGAAACCCTCTGGGACAGCGCTGCCCTGTCCCAGACATTCTGAGTTGGAAGTGACGGGATGGCAGTGAGGAAGGAGCTCTAATAAATTACCAAACACTTACCAGCTTATGGCCTTTTTAGCTAGAGATGTAGTCTGGTTGAGTTCAGTGCCAAGTAAATGACATGGATTAAGTGGGCTCATAATCTAAACGACTGCTAATTTGCCTTTAGACACAATAATTTTTGTCCTATATAATCCCACAGAAGTTATTTATAGCACCTGACCTAGCACCTCTTTGGGAGCAAAAATTAAACCGGGTAGGAGTAGACGTAGTAATATCACTTAGGTATTTTGATTCATTAGGTAGCAGTTAGGTTGTAACCCTGTGACACAGCATACTGGATGTCACAATACCTGTATGCTGAATGCCCCCTACACACTTTTTTTAAATTCAAAATGGGTTTATTAGAATGGCTTCCCCTCATCTTGATTCAGGGTCTTTTAGTGCTGCTTCTGTCCGAAGGAGCATCCTTCTGGGAGCCTTGCTTTTCCTCCTGTAGGCTGACAAGAGGACAGCAGAGCAGCCAGCACACAAACGACTGTTTGTGCCTGGCTGAAGACCGTGGTGATTTCATAGCAGCCTGGGCATTTGACAGCCATGAAGTAGGAATTGGGGCTCCGCACCAGGCGCTTCTTGTGTTTTCTCCTCTCCTCTTAGAGAGGGATGAAGGAGAGCCTTTGCGAGAGGCATGATCGCTGGGAGGTCGCCAGCGCCGGATAGCGTTGAATGCTCTCAGTAGCTAGGAAAGCAACCACACATGACCGGAGAGCTGATGGTTTTTACCTGGCCACCTGGACCAACCCAATCACAGCCGTGTCTAGTGGCAGGAGGGCCTGGCTGGTTGTCACTGCCCTCGTTTGAGACCCTGCCCGCGTGTTGGGGTTAAATATTGTGGCTGGCAGAACGGCGCGGCTGGGGGCTGTGCTGATGGCTTGTTGATGGTACCTCTTGTGCCTTCCAGCCGACTTACATGCTGCAGTCAGAGGGATGCCGCGCGTCCCTTCTGGCGAGGTACCCCCCTGAGAAACTCTTCCAAGCAGAGCGGAACTTCAATGCAGCTCAAGACTTGGATGTCTCGCTTCTGGAAGGTGACCTTGTGGGTGTCATTAAGAAAAAGGACCCCATGGGCAGTCAGAACCGCTGGCTGATTGACAGTGGAGGTAAGAATGGCAGGCATCCCCTTGATGTCACTCCACCTGAGGGAGGGTGATTTGAGCAGTCCCTGGCTCCTGGAAAGGCCAGCCAAGAACATGAGAGTCCTTGGCAAAAGGGAAAAACAACTTTAAAAGCCCTGTGCCTCTCGGGAGCGTGTGCTACCGCCGCCACTCGGAGGGAGACAAACCAGGTTTGGGTTTTGTTCAAGTTCCATGGGCAGCTCCATTACTCACCGTGTGGGGTCTTATGGCCCCTGTTCACAACTGCCTTGGGCCTGCGGTCCTGGCGGGTAACACCCTGGGCCCTCTCAGCCTGTCCTCAGTCAGCTGCAAAGCCAGCCGCCCCCTTCCAGTGTATGTACTCTTCCTTTTCTTGGGTGTGAATCAGAAACCTCTAAGAATGGACTCTTAAGTGGGATTTTTGTTCGGTGAGCTTTTTTTCTCCTGGAGTTATGTAGGGATTTACCTTAAATGCAGCTCACCACTTTTGTATGTGTGTGCAAGGAGAAAGGGGTTTTATAAAGACTAAAGTCATCCTGATCTGTAATCCTTTCCCCACAAATCCAAATCCATAACATAAAAAAAAACCAAGCCTGTTTTGTTTGGGTTTTTCGGTTTTCTTTCTTTCTTTTTAAAAAGATCTCCTTTGCCAAAACCCCACCTGATCTGGACTCACTTGGTGGCTACGCCTGACCAGGTGGAAGACTGTTCATAGTCTTGTCTTAGCATTTTTGGTGTAAATAGCCTTCTCTTTTGCTACCAAAATCTTAGTGGTTTGACTAGGGGGCATGAGGAGCCTTGGTGACAGACTGGGTTATGCATCGAGCTGCTCAACACCAGGCACCACAGCCGCTCCTCGGAGGGACGGGGGAGGGAGGGAGATCAGGCACAGGAACCTGGCGGGCAGTTCTACTCAGTCCCGTAGAGCCCCTTAGAGTTGGAGTTCACTTGAGGGCACTGCATCTGGGGCACCTGCTGCCCGGACCGTGCTGGAAGAATTATGAACTTTCTAATAGTGTATGAACTTGATAGCCTTTTCCAATCGAAAACACATGGATTCCAAAACCCACGTGGCCTTTCAGGGTTTGATCCTCCTGGGCGTTTGCTGAAATAAAAGTAGGCTGTTGCATATGTGGGATATGCACTTTCCCACGAAGAAAAACTCTTCCTATGCTAGAATATGGGCGCCCTGGTGGCATAGTGGTTACACGTTGGCTTGCTAACTGCAAGGTCAGCAGTTCAAAACCACCAGCTGCTCATGGTGAAACGACAGGGCTTTCCACTCCTATGGGGCAGGGAGTTTGGCTTGGTTTGTTTTGTAATTGTTTCTTTACTGTAGAATATACTCAAGAGTGTTTCTTCAGCATTCCTGAACCAGCAAACAGAGATAAGAGCCATGTGTGAGGAGGGTCTCTTTCTTCCCAAGCCTTCTTTACCACGCATGGTTTCGTGAACACACCCTCCCCCTTAGCCTTGGTCTCCATGATCTAGAGGTCCTTATGGTTTTTTGGATACCTGTGGTCCAGCATGTGATTGTTCTTAACCTCCCCC